TTCAGAGTCAAAGAAGGAATTGTGTTAGAAGACTTAAAGTTGGAAAAGTCATCCTCTCTACAGGCTGCAACTGTTAGAACGAGGTTATCCTTTGCCGGCAATCTCATTACTCTGGGCTAAATTCAGATGTACTGTAACCAGTTTAAATTTCCTGATAGCCAAGAAAATACTCTTTAATTTTATCTAGGAGGGGATACATATTTATACAAACTGAGGATTCGGCCCATCATGCTTTCTCATATGCATACAATCTGAGCATATGCTTTTAGGCTGTTGCTCTTGAATTAGAAATTCAAACATGGGTAATTTTAGATTTTTTTGTCTTGTGCTTAGTTTTAAAGAAATGAAGGAGCTTTTTGCTTAAGCACTGTGTTGTGGTGTGGACATAGGAAGTGAAATTACAGGATCTAGATTAACCTTTTAGGTGACAGTAACGTAAGGAAGATTATTTGCTGCTAAAGGAGTATCTTTTTGTCTTTCGGTCTGCCTACTTAGTTTCTGTATGAAGATAAGAATTTGGAGTACAGAATATATTTATTTTACACTGGTACTGTGTGCGTGGGTATGTTCTATTGTGCAATTACGGAAACTGCATTCTGACTACATTTTATTGTCACAGTATATATATTTTGTCAATAATACAGGAACTGTTGCTGTTTAAGCAATATGTATATTTATGTATCTTGAATGTAGAGAACAACATGGCTTGCCTTTTGCCCAAATTCATTCTTTGAATTTTTTCTGAGGAAGCAAAACATAAATACACAATAGCCTGGAATGCAAAGGGAAGTATACTAGAAAAGTGGAAGGAAAGACATTTCAGAAACATGCCTTCCTTTAGTAGAAAGCCTTTCTTCCCAGTATTGTGCTAGACAGCCTTCCTCTGAACAAAGCCACTTCCATAGTATCTGTAATTTCTGCATGTAAATTGTAACTTCTCAGAATATTCTTTAAAAGGCATTTTAAACATTAGCTGCTATATTGTGACATTTAATGTCCTCTGTGGTCGTGTGGGAAGCCTGTGATAAAGAGAGGAATGAGTGAAGCAAACCACCTGATTCCCTGTCCTCCTGTCCCCTATTGCTTTGAATTGGCTTTCTTTATTTTGCCAGCATACCATCACTGATTATGAACATTATCATCTCAGCAGGTTGCAACTGTGTTATTACAATTCAACATACTCATTCCTATCTTTCTTTAAGGTCACTGAAATGAGATACTTAAAAGATACTGTATTGTTTGAAGTACAGAGATCTTAAAATTTTTCCTGTGGTCTTTTATTATGTGCCAAGCCAGCCTCAGCTCCTGAATATGCAGCATTCCCATATCCTCCTGCAGCTCTCCAGCTGAAGTCCATGTTTTGCCAAATCATTACTTAATTTGTTATCCAGAAAGGGTAATTCCTTAGTTCCTGCTTTCCTGTTCTGCTCTAGTGTGTATACAATGAGGCCCTAAGATGTAGCAAGTCTACATGCCTTTCTTCCCTCCTCATTACATATCCTAATGTGTGTAAATCCACTGCAAGCCATTTAAGTGATAGGCTTACATGGCCATCTGTATGAATGAAGAAATTACACATGATGCATAGATAGCTGTCAGTTCTGCAAGCATTGAAAAACTTTCTTCTCCTGCATTTAGTTTGTTAAATTTGCATTAGTTTAATTCCTCTCTTATTCTAGTCCTTCTGTCAGTTGGGTCAAGAACTTTGCTTTCTCTGTGATGGAGTTAGCTTATATTGAGTTTGAGAAGTAACTTCTAAATGGTCCTTATAATAGATAGCAGAGACGGTGAGGACAAGCAGTCAAATTCTTGATTAGCTGTTCTGCCAGAGAAGAATAACAATGAGCCAAAACTATGGATGTCTTCCCAGGCAAGAATTTAGTGCTATTCCAAAGAGCTCTTTTTAAAGCCATTTTCCCTGATAGTATTAAGTAAAGCATCTTTTAAGCAGACAGAATACCCCTCTTAAAATGAAATATGATGTTCCAGGGTGGTGGTAAAAGAAAATACTATTTCTGGTTCAAGTTGCATGTTAAAAGATCATAGCTATTAAAGCTCTTTTGTCAGTAGAATGAATCAGTATTGACTGCCTGGATTCTCTTGCGGGTCATTAGCTTGTCAGTTAATTGGAAAGCTTGTGAGGGGCTTCTCCATGATGGTGTTTTGTGGTAGAAGAAAACAACCTGGGAATAAACTTAGTTAAAAGGTGGTCATAGTTGGTAGCTGTGGTTGGTTTGTACGTGTTTTTAATTGCTTTGTCCAAATTGTGTGATGGGCTAGTCTCTAAAAGGATAAGAGGTTCCTACAGTTTCACTCTGAAGGCTAATAAGGATTCAAAACAGGATACTACAGTGAAATTCTTACCATAAATAATACAAATACACTTGTAAGAGTCTGCATGAATGCTTCAACTGTAACAAAGGATTCTTCAGATTCAAGTCTGTGGTTAATGCAGCTATTGCTAGCTTGAGCCAAAATGATGATTTACTTATTATATTCTGTATTGACATGTGTCAGATTAATATAAAATTCCCTTAAAGCTATAGTTCTGCTGACATTGTAATGGCAGTGTGTGATTTCCTTATTTATTTTTGGTGATTTGATAGATGCACATAAAAAAGAAATCTGGGTATAGAGTCTGTTCCTTCCCACTTGGCACCTGGACCTGAAAATCTGCACGGGCTTATGCATCCTTGTTAGCAATATAGACTTTACAACTGGGTCTTAGTTTGTGATGCTGTTTTGGATGTATGATTTAAAAAAGTTGAAAATTCATCTGTCTTCCTGTTAGCTGTGTGAGTTCTGCAGAGGAGTGAAATGTTATATGAACCTGAGGGGCTTTCTGTGAAGGAAAGTAAACAGATAAGAGGAAAGGCACATGGAAGACATTTGTTAAATAGGGGTGCTATCTTTTATACTGTTGTTCTTCTGGCTATAACTGCACTTTCTATTTTATTACGGCCTGGGTCTCTAGAGTTGAATTTTACAAGGCATTTTCAGAATAATTGGGTCAGTCACCCATTATTCATACAATTACACACTGCAGCCTTGCTGCTTTTTGTTGACATCTGTGCACAAAGCCCAGCTCTTTTTTACATAACCTGACCAGCTCAGACACTGATTGTGGGAGATGCTGAAAGTCATTGGGAGCTCCAGAGCCTGAGAAAAGAAATGGCTGAATAGTTCATTCCCTCTGGCATGCCCAGAGGCAAGCAGGAAGTTCATAATGGCATCATTATACATGTAATATTTTGTGGTTTGCCTATATATTGCTGTAGAAAGGGAGAAATTGAAGACTGCTATGTGGGAAATGTTGTTAAACCACTTTTACATAGCTAGCCAGCTGCATTTCTGTTTATTGCCTTAAACAGGCATTGACTTATACTGTTATGAGCTATTTCTGAGGGGACTGCCTCATCTGGAGCTGGAGGGACCCTCGCGTACTGTGGTGGTAATGAGGTGACTGGCCTTGCTGGCTGTAGATTGAAAAGGTGTGTGCTACATGAAACAGGGTATTAGGGGAAAGTGATGCAAATAGCTGTCTCATTAATGGGATTAAATGATATGCTAGATAGCTGATTTCTGCCTCTGAGGCTGTCTCCTGTGCGCCAGACGTTCTGTAGGAGGTCAGTAACTGAGCACAAGTCCAACTTCGTGTGCTTGGCATCCAGACTTAGCACAAATTCTGACTCTTTAAACAAGACTCAGTAAGTGCTACACTTGGAAAATACAAAGGAGCAAGTTTTCAAAAGAAAACTGAAATGCATAGAAGTAGGCAGTAGGGACTGTGTGCATGTAAAAATGGGCACTCAGTCTTAACTTTCTTTCTGAAAAACAGTGACTTGTGTTTCCTCCGCCTGAAAAATGAATGTGATACTGCCATATCTTGCGGGAGTATCATTGAAGTAAATCCAGTGATATTTCTGAAATGTTTGGATACTTCAGTGCTGAACACTGAAGAAAAGCTCAGAAATGAATTAATAGTTCTTTCTTTGGGAAGAATATTATCAGTAGACTGTGAAAAAAGTACAATTTTCATAACACAGCTAAAAGGAAGAATTGTAATGTTGCTGTGGGGAGTGCTGTCATGTACATTGAATTGAGATGTCTGACAGAAAACAAAATAGTGTGTGATAAAGTAATTGAACACTGTATGAAAGAGTATGCCTGCTGAGTAGGAGGGAGGGAAGTATTAAAGTTGAAAAAGTAATCTCTATACTAACTCCTGATGCTTGTCTTGACTTGGATTTTTAGAACTTCAAGTTAAAAATGTAACTTGTGAATTTACTTTCAAGTCTCAAAGGTAAATGTTTACCTTAGGTTTGGTAATATCACGGTAGTAAACCTACTTGGTTTTATATGTGAAAAAAACCTTTGAATTTCTTCATATAAACATGAACAATGCCTTGATTTTTGCCTACTGTTGAATCAATTTGGTACAAGTATTTTGTAGGTTTTTATGAAATTAAACCAAAGGAGTAATGGTATTTCATATAAAGTTACTGTGAGAAAAAGTGACTGTAGTTGAACTTTTCCTGGCAGCACTGGAAACTCGGTTATAAGAGAACAGTTAACTACAAACTCTTTGTGTCAGAACTGCCTTTATATTAGGCGTTTGAATGGTAGGCTAGCAAAGCATCAGTCCTGGATGTTGCCGGGAACTTCTAAGATACTGTGGTTACCCAAGCAATCATAATTGTGATTCAAATGATAAGTAAAATGCATATACACTCATTTAATTAGGAACTGTAAAGCTAGTGTATGAACTGTTTTGCAAACAAACAGGATTAAGTGGATAGAAATTGGGTGGAAAAAATTTTGGTTAGTCACTAGCAACACTGAAAACCAAATGTACAGATGTTATCTTGGTATTGGCTCTTTTGTGTTAGTATGAGTGATTTTAAAGCCTTTGTGCTTCCATATGAAAATGTGTCTTGTGTAGCAGACCGTGATCAGCAGAGAAAGTCAACTTCACTTTATTTTATTTTAATCCCTTCTAGCCTTCAGGAAAAAGAACAGTCATTCAGCATGTCCATTAAAGAAACTACTGCCAAAGTAAGTACCCATCAGTGTTCTTCTGAATATTTTCAGAAGCAGGTAATAGCTTGCATCTTAGTAAATGGTTTGTGTTTTAGAAAGTTGGTTTTGTGGCATTTCTTCTAAACAGATTTTGCATATAAACATTTTTAAACATACACTCAAAAAAACCACAAACCCCAGCTTTTATATTTGGACAGGCCACTGAGATTACGTTTAAGAAGCAGATGGAGTAATTTGTTGTTTCTTGGTTTATATTTACTAATCTTCTTGCTAGTCTCTATTTAGGAAAAGACTCCTAAGCTTCATGAAATGAAAGTGAACTCTGGTTACAAGTGAATGCTTTCACTCTTCATACAGAGCCTCTTACTTTCCTAGCTGACTGGTTTTGTTGGTGTAAAAGAAGAGTATAAATGAAGTACCTATCTTTCCCACCCACACTAATACTAAACTAGCAATCTCATTCTTATTCCCCTTTTAAAAATATAAAGAGTATATATATGATATATATATATATAAAGTGATATGGGATATTTAGCATACCTTTTGTTTCTAACCAGAGGTGATAATACTTTTTCTTTAATTTTTGTATTTCTCATGGCCTCCTTCTGAGAAAGAGAGTACTAAAATTTTCTTTTTATTTCAGTGAGTCACAGAACATCTTTACTTCAAGAGAGCTATAGAAAAAAGGTCCGTTTATTGTAGCTGATCCATATTCATCTATATGGAACAGGGAGCAGAAAATATTTCTGGCTTTTGATCAGTAATGAATTTATACTCTGAAATAAGTTTATTTTCCTGTTCTTTCTCTAGTAGCACTCACCAAAATTAGTAAAAATTATATCCTTTATAGTCTATTCTTTCTAATAATCTTGACAAACACTTTCGGCATGCACTATTAAAAAGACTATTTGAAGACTGCATGTCAGTACCCCTTCCTCCTCTCCTACATCATTTTGAGTTTATTCTCCTCTATTCCTTGCTCTATGCACACATCTTGGGGAAAAAATTTAGTATACACCTTTAAAACATGATGCTCCCCGTTTTTTAAATGACTATGAATAGATTATCAAGGAAAATATTGTAATTGACCTGCAACTCATCTACTAAAATGAATGAGACGGTACCTCAGTGATAACGTTGTTTTAAACTCTCTGCAAGCTGAAGCATAAGTTACAGATTTCCCCTTCTGCTCTGAAAATGTGTCTCTCTTGAAGTTTTATTTTACAGCTGTAGTATCTAGAGATTTTTTTCAGTAAGAGCTGAAACATTGGGTAACAATTGAAGTCTGCAAGGTAGAATTCCACAGCCTATTTGTTCCTTTAAATATTCAATAGATAAAATATTATTTTAATTTCATTCCATTCCTATGTGATGTCTTTTATTTATTAGAGAAGATAAATAGAAAGCACATAATGAGACTCCTCCAAATCATTTATTGGTTTATTTATTCAGATTGTCTCATCCTATTATTTTTTTCTCAAGCTGAATAGCGCTGATCTTTTAAACCTTTTCATTGTATGGGGAAAACACTGCTTTATCAAAGGTCTTTTTGTTCCCCTGTGCCACTGGTGTTTCTATGGCCTTTTCTGCCTTATCTGTATTGTTTTCAGCTGAGGCTGCAAAAGCTGGAATTCGCCTGCTAATGAAAGGAACAATCCCCCTTATCCACCACCACCCTTCAGAAATTAGTATCTGCTTTTGCTAATGGCAAGATTGTGCTGTATGGGAGATCCAGGTGGACTGTTTTTTTAGGCAGTGTAAAGAGAATTTCTCTTTCTTTCCCAAGGTGCTGTTGTAAAGAAATGTGAAGGTTATTCAAAAATTATTTTTTTTTTTCCTTGAAATGGTTGAAGAAAAAGTAAATTTCAGTGCTTTAGTCAGTGTCCTTGTCCCTGTTTCTGCTGCTTTAGATTAAAATCATATGCTGGAAAGATGGAAAAGGATGACAGTGGGCAAATTTTCTTTTGATATTTTGCTGCGTTTCATCTTGATTCCACATATCTCTGCTAAGCAGCATCCTACTCGTTTCAGATAGACTGCTTTTTTTGAGTAGCATTTATGTGTCTGAACACAGATTGTAAGGTATATTCCTAAACAAGAGCCTCTTGGTTTTTTGGGGGGGTTCTAGTGCCCTTTATTTTTTTTTTTTTCCTTAATAGTCTGCTTTAAACCCCTCCAAAAAAACAACAAAGAGGATTTTAAAATAGATACAGTAATATTTGGCTGCAAAGAACTTCCCTGAAACTGAAAGGGAGGTTTTTCTTCAGACTTGGAGCTTGTTGGTCTGTGGGCTACAGCAGAACTGGTCATTGAGAACAGGGAATGGACGTTGCTTGCAGTCAGACTGGTTAGAGGAGGATGAGAGCAACAGAGGAAGCTGGCTTTGTGAATGTTCATCATTTTTGTCAGATGGGAAATAATCTTTCCTTAGTGGCTGAATAAGCTACTGTAATGAATAATGGTAGCTGCTATTAAGATAAAATAATTAGAAAAAAATGAAAAGAATTGGGACTTATAGAGTAGAAGTGATGTAACGTTGGAGCAGTGCTATTAGTTTAGAGGATGTTATGTTATTTTGCTTCTCCCAGTCGCTCATTTAGTTTTGTTGAACTGTGCCATATGATAGCTCTGAAGATTAATGTTGTTCATTTATTTACAGAATACACGTGACATAGATACAAGCAGAGGCTTGGTAATGTACTTATCTCATGTTCCAGAAGAATCATCTCTGTAAGATAGAGGAACAGCCTCTGGTCCCTGCATTTTGCCTGTTAATAAAGAGCGCCAGGGAGCTTTGTTCTGATGGTAGCACTTACAAAAGTGGACAGTGTTCACTGGAAACTGATTAAACCTCCCAGCTTATTTTGCATAATTGCCAAACAGCTGTCTAGTGGTAATGACTTTAAGTTACAACCAGCATGGGATATATTCATGCAGTTTTCCTGGAGCTGAAAGATTCCCCATCTAATTGCAATTCGCTGAGCCATTCAGTACCCCTAAAGAGAGAGAACTGCTTAGAAAGAAGTCATTAAAATCTTTCAGATTTATTCTGGAGATTACTATGACTAGAGTGTTGGAATGGAAGGATAGAGGCCCTTCAGGAAGGACAGACAGGGGAGATGAGGAAAGGATGTCGCTCTCTGTGTCAGTGACCAGCTGGAGTGCATGGAGCTCTGTCTGGGGATGGCTGAAGAAGCAATCAAGAGCTTAGGAGTCAGCATTTAAAGGGAAGGCAAGGAGAGGTGACATTGCAGTGAGAATGGATCGAGATTAGCCTTTAGGAGAAGGACTTGGAGGTGTTACTTGACGAGAAGCTCATGACCCAGCAATGTGCACTTGCAGCGCGGAAAGCTAACCATATCCTGGGCTGCATCACAAGAAGTGTGATAGTTCTGTTAACTCAAGGAAAAGGTTAACAGATGCTCTCAGCTGAAGCAAGGGGGTATTTATCTATTTAAAAGGATTTACAGTTAGTGTCATATCTGAATTATTATAATTGTACAAACAGGTAAGCTGTTATAGCTGTAGGCTTTTGCTCTCAGAAAGTGAAGTGGTAGCTGTGCTTCTGTTCACAGTCTGGTATATACACTTATTTGTGAGACTAGAGAAGCCAAGTAGGAAAGGGAAACTTTCCTCTGGAGATTGCATTTCACATCTCATCTCTTCATAACAGGCTGGTGCCTTTCTTTACTATTGCTTTACTCTTGGTTCCAATGAATGCAATATTTTCTGAAGCGTCAGGTATGATTTTAAGCGTTTAATGCCTGCCTTCAGAACAAGGGATTTACCTTAGCTCATTGAGGGATTTTCCTGTTCACTTTGCTTTCCTTCACAAATGATGCAATATGGAGGAAACGCTAACATTTTTGAATGTGTGTGGGTTGTATGAATTTTGTATGCTGTGTAAAGTCCTCCTGCAGTGGTAATGTACTCTTAAATGGGAAGTACAGAAACAGGGTAACTTCCTTTTTTATTTTTTCTCCTTTCTCTCTATGTTTTTAATACCAGTCCTGATTCATTGCTGAAAGAACTTCCAGTTAAAATGATAAAAAAAGAGAGCAGGAAAGTTATAAACCTGAACCCCAGTCAGCTGTGTCTCCTGATTGTGAAATGAAGTACAGTATTGACCTGGGATAGTTTTATTTATTGCCTATGCAGAGAATTAATTCTGTCTGTTCTGCCTGTTTTCATTTAAGATTAGCAGCACCATATGTTTTTTATAAAAATTGCTGCACATTCCGTGCTATGGCATCTTAAACTCCAAATGCTGGCTTATTTATGCTCCAGTCCATGCATTACTGTTAATGCTGAAATTGTACAGAGTTTGTTAGATGGCCTTTCTTTTATGTGCAGTCTCAGTATCTAGTAGTGAGACATGTCCTTTCTCATGCAGGTAGCTAATGCTAGTACTTTTCCCTATTTTTATAATAGAATGTGCAGCAAAGCCTGGAAATTTTGATTCATGTTGGGTATTTCTGTAAAAACATCACTTTTTATTATGCTTTTCTACCTTGCTATAGGATGTTATGTCATGTCTGTAAACCAAGAGCATTTGAAGCCCCATTTAAATTGCCTTATATTTTACAATGAATGAATTGTATATCACGGCTGTCTGCCTTGATCTAGGTTTGCACGAGTCAGAAACTTTGCAGTACTTTGAGGAGGAAAGTGAGTGATATTGAGACTCAACTACCAGCTCTACTTGAAGCCAAAATGCTGGCTGTTTCAGGTAAGTTTAAAGTCATGAAAAGGACTAGCATTGATGAGTGATGTGTCAGAGCATTTGCTGAGCTTTTAATATCTGAGACTTCCTAGGAAAGTTGATGTGCATGTATGTAGATCCCTTGAAGAAGTTATGACAAGTCCAGGTAAGCAGGCTGTGTCATGTGTTGTGTAAGGTATTTCAGGCCCCTCTCTGTGGTTGGGAAATACTGGTAAAGAGGATGCTGTGTGGTAGGCAGTAAACATGCAAAGAACATGATATTTTTCCATAAGTGAAGTTGATAAATGATTATCAATAGCTATTCCTGGACCTTTACAAGTTATATGCCTATGTAACTTATATGCTAGCTAAGAGCATAAATTTACAGCAAAGGTATAATAACTACAAGTGTGGCTTTAAAAGACACTTTAAAATGGAATACAATAATTGGCAGCTTCTGCTGTTCAGATCATTAAACAACTGATGTTGGCAGTGAAAGAGCGATTTGGTCCTTGGAGCACTTGTACCTGTTATTTACAACCAGTAAAACACTGAAATGTGATTAGAGAGTCTGACACGTAACAGCTTTACATACCATTTATTTGGGATTACTGCACCGTTTTTGAATGAAAAAAGGCAAAGCACAGTTCTATCTCTTAAGTTTGAAGAGGTGGGTTTTCTATTCTGTTTCAGTTCAGCAAATTGCTTGCAGATGTGTAAGTAGGTGTCTCTCTGCTAGACACCTGCCTCAGAGAGGAAGCTGAGTAGGGCGGAATGTAGACTTGAATACAAGGAATTTTCCAGTGTTACACCAAGTAAAGAAAGGCTAGAGGGTTCTAATACATGTCAAGGTGACATACTGTAGCTGTGTGTTGGTGATTTACCTTCTCAATTAAATACAAGGATCTAGCACTGGCACGCACGGATTTTTTTAGAGATGAAACCTTGTGCAGTGTTACATGGTTTGTTTGCCAGAAGTGGATAACGTCAGGCTTGAGCAAAGTCCTAAAGGAGATTAAGGACCAGATCTTGTATTGGTGCTGAGCATGTTCGTTTTCCTTGTTTCTCTTAACACCTTTCTGAAATAGAAACCCTCTCTATTTCTCTGTGTCCAACTTTGCCAGGTGAGCTGAACAATCATCTTTCTCTGCCCGTGGGCTGTTTGAATGTAGGTAATTTTCTTGCTTTCAGAAGTAGGGTCAAAGTTTTCCCCAACCATTTTATGACTTTCTTGAGAACAAAATATCCCGTAGACTGAATGTGCAACTGCTTTATGCTGCCAGTGGGAAGCAGTTGGCCAGAAAAGATGTACCTCAGTCAGATGCTTTGGGAGAGTAAATGACAACTTGAGAATGATTTTCAAAACATTCATAACTATTTATACTTTTTAGATGCTGAAAGAAGTTTCTTATTTCAGGAATGAATTCAAAAGACAATTTAATGCTGATGTTTTTATAAACTGCACGGCAGTGGGGCTATGATTACCTTTCTATGCATTTTTAAGAAGTATCAGTGCTATTTCTTAGTACTGATGATAAGCACCATTTCTTTGTCCTTTTTTTTTTTTTTTTTTTTGTTTTAAATTCTGACTGTGGAAAAACTCTCAATTCAGGGAATTTTAATGACTGGTACAATCCTAAGTTGCTATAAGTCAAAATTCTGGGGGGAACTGGCTAAAAATCAAGGACAAAAGGTAATTTGGTGACTGGATACCGTAATTTTTTTATCTTGTCATAAGATATGGATACATTTAGTTGATGTGATGGCTCTTGTTTGTTACATGCAGAGTAGTATGCAGAGGATATGGGGGAAATATAGGAATAAAGAAAAATTGGCTCTCTGAAGACCTGAAAGCTGGAAAAAAAAAAATATCCGGGGTGAGGGTGAAGGGAAATAGTTTAATCTTAAAGCATAAAGTGATAAAATCAGCAAAGCCAGGGTGCAGAATGAATTGCAGCGAGCAGAGAAGCAAGTCAGGAAGAAAAGATTTTGTAAATGCAGAAGAGGAAAGAGGAAGAAAGAGATAAAAATATCCTTTCCCCCCACCCCCCCTGCTTAACAAGGCAATAACAGTGAGCAGTAGATAATATAGAGAAAGCTGAATTATTCAGTTTCTGTGTATTCCTGTGTTAGGTGTAAGTGAATGACACCTCTCAAATAAGGCATCGTTAAGAAGTAGGTCTTAACCTTTTAGGAACTGATTAAGTTTTAAGCAAGATACTTTACCTACATATCCCCTGAACTGTCAGGCAGCTAATAGACTGTTAATGAACAGTCTCTATATATTAAATCATTAGAAGGTGAGAGAATCATCAATTGGATAATACATAATTATTTAAGGACAGTCTTGGAATAGCATGAAATTCAGAGGGAATTATAGTGTATATGTTAAATATACAGTAATAATAAAGTTTGGTCATTATTAGAGGTTTTAATTTAGTCTGGAAGCATCAGACAGGGAAAAATGTCTGTTATTTCTGCTTTTATACCTTATAGTTAGATCATTCATTCTAACAATTTTGTCGTATGACAGTACTGATGGATACTGAGATCAACTGTTTTTCTCTAAACTGCTGTTGCATCACTTTAACATAGCATTTTTCTTGAGGAAGCAGTCAGAGTTAAGTGATTTTGGAACAGTGTCAAAGCAAAAAGGTAACTGAATGCAGTTGCACATGTCTGGATTAATGTATCCCAAAAGTTAAGCTAGATGAGTTTAAGAATATAGCTATTAAGTGATACATACATACTCAGAGCTTACATGCCATGACTTAATGATGGGATGAATTGGAAAGCATGATATATAACTTAGCCTTTAATGGCTACTTTGATAGCTTCAGACAATGTTCATCTTCTATGTGAACTCTACTTCCTATTCCAAACACACTGATTTACAGTATTTGTGTACTTGCACCAGAAAATGTAAGAATATAGCTGATCTTGTTTTGTGAGCAAAATACTACAGTAAATGCAATGTAAGTATAATGCCTTGCATTTTAAGACTATAATCAGCAATACTGTAAAGACATAAGAGATGATGCTACATACATGAACGTCACTCCTCCCTATTATTTTGTCCTTGGAAGAAGTATAAAATTCAACTTGGAGGAGAAAGTAAGTTTGTGAATATTTGGATTACTGAAAGTCATTGAATAAATCAAGTAATTAAATCCCAGTGAGATTTTGGGGGAAGGGAGAAGCAGCCCATACTTAAATGTTCAAGAAGTAGTTTTATCAACAGTTACAATTCAGATCCTTTATATCAACAACTCCCTTACTTCTGACTGGCACTTGCCTATTGTGATAAATAACTTGCAGTTAATACTCCTGAGATACTAGTTCAGAATTTTTTTCAAACATGATTAGTAGAATCTTATGATATTGTTCACAGTTTTTAAGTCTGGAGCTTCAGCTAATTATAGCTAACAAGTACTCCTGATTGCCTGAGATGTTGCTGTTGACATACACATTTGTAAATACTTATCGATGAAATGTTATGGTTTAGCATCTAGTAGGGTTTTTTTTTATTAAAACAAAACACCTTTAATGTCAGCATTTAGAAACCTGAATGTGATCATTGTAACAGTTGCTTCTTGCAGTAGCTCTTAACATGCTTATAAGAATTTACAGACTTTGTAACATTTTGGTCTGTGTTAAAGTTAGAATGAGAAAAGGAATAACAGTGAGAAGACAACATGAAATAGTCTGGAGTAAAGGAGGCTCAGTTAGAGACCTTATCGCTCTCTGCAAGTAACTGAAAGGAGGTTGTAGTGTGGTGAGGATCAGTCACGTCTCACACATACCAGGAAGGAAACATACAAGAGGAAACATCCTCAACATCAAGAAACAAGGGAGGTTTAGATTGGGTATTAGGAAAAGATTTTCATCAAAAGGGTTGTCAAGCACTGGAACAGACTGCCCAGGGCAGTAGTGGGCATGATGGGCATCATCTCTGAAGGTATTTATAAGATGTGTAGATGTGGCACTGAAGGACATGGTTTGGTGGTGGACTTGGGAGCATTTGGTTGACGGTTGGACTCGATGATCTTCAGGGTCTTTTCCAACCTGGATGATTCTGTGATCTTAATTCAGTCGTCAGTTATGGGAAGAATACAGCAGCACATGATACTGTGCTTTTTGTTAGCACTGTGTGTCTATTTAGCATGAAATGTTTCGGGGGAACAAATTGCAGATGAAATAATCCTAAACCAGTAGGAAAATTCAGATAGGATGATATGTAAAAAAGCGTAAATGTGATTGTAGAAATATTATTAAAATTTATTTTCCTACTTTGGGCTGTTTTGCAGGAGAGCAAGTTTATGTGAGAAATGGTGTGTTTCTCATTTTTCCTTAGTGAGAAAATGATTCGGGAATAGGAGAGAGGTTGTAAGCCAAAATGAATTTTTAGTCACCATTTCATGTTTCCTGTATTTGAATAATAAAAGAGGTTGTTTGATACATTTGACAATGTTTTCATAGATCTATGTGATTTAATTTTCTTCTTGAGAATGTGTAATAGCATGGGACTAGATAGGCAGAAAGTGGCTAGCAGGGAGCTAAGTAGACATGAATGAAATATTGAGTTCGTTATGTACTTACCTGAGATGCATGTCATTAACTTTCCTTATGTCTTTGCAAATAGACATTAGATTTGAACACAGAAGTTAGAATGAGATGTCTTGTAGTAGTTTTAAAAAATTGAAAAAATTTTTGATCTTAAATCTGTCTATACCAGTGAGAAATTGTGTGTTATCATCCTATAATTAGCACTATCTCTGTATCATTACATACCTGCAAGTAGGAGCTGCTTGGAAATACTGTTGTGGGATGATTTCCAGCAGTACAACAAAAGGTGGGTTTTTTTCCTTATGTTAGTGTAGAAGTATAGATTATAAGTAGTATGACATAAATACTAGATACCATATTTTCACAAGACTTAATGTTAGGACTGTTGCCTCTTTGATGCTCATTTAGGGCAAGTTCTGCATGGCTCAGAAAAGAAATGTAACAAAAAAACCTTCCAGCTTTATG